CATTTATTTCTCTTATTCTTATTCTTTTTATTTTCCCCTTTTTCATTTAAAATATTTCAGTTTCAAAAAATATTGTGCTGACAAATATATTTAAATTTTCTATTAAAAATACATGAACATTTTAAAAACATGACAAATTTCTTGTCTTGAACATTTAAAAAAATATGTAGTTTCTTTTTCAATCCTGATTTTTTTAAAGGTTTTTTTAATTAAAATGCACGAAGATATTTTAAAATTCCGTGATCATACTTTTATATGTCATGAATATTTCTTAAATTCCATGAAGACATTTTTAATGTACGAACATTTTTGTGAAAACACATGAACGTTTTTATAAAATGACATTAACATTTATTAAAATGCATGCTTTTTTGTTAAATTTCATTAATGTTCTTCTAAATGCATGATATTTAATTAAAAAAACTAATAGAAAATTGTGAGAACCATTTTTTAAAGTTAAATGAAAGTATTAGCATATTTTTACCTAAGTATACTAATGCTTACTAGTAGAAGGCCATGTGAGTACAGTTAGGCTCTTAGTGTTGACCCTAATTCATTTGCGTCGCTCGTTCAGGGCGACCCGGGCGGCACCCGCGCCGCTGCCAGCAGTCCTCTCACCAGCCGCTCCCCCTAGTTGTTGCTGGTCAGACGCCGGGGCAAAGCCTTGTGCGGTCGCCGGTGGTGGCAGGACCTCCCTCTCCTCCGCTGCTCCTCTCTCCAGCTGACTTCTGCGGCCGCCCCTCGTCAGATCCGTCGCTGCCACAAGTACCTCGTGATGCCGCTTGATATGTCTCCAACGTATATATCTATAATTTTTTATTGTTTCATGCTATTATATTATCTGTTTCAGATGTTTTATACGTATTAATATGCTTTTTTATATTGTTTTTGGGACTAACCTATTTAACCTAGAGCCTAGTGTCAGTTTCTGTTTTTTGCCTGTTTCAGAGTTTTACAGAAAAAGAATATCAAACGGAGTCCAAACGGAATAAAACTTTCGCGATAATCTTTCTTGGACCAAAAGCAAACCAGGAGACTTGGAGATGAAGTCGAAGAAGCAACGAGGCGGCCACGAGGGTGGAGGGCGCGCCCCCTACCTCGTGGACCCCTCGAGGGTCTCCTGACCTAATTCTTTCGCCCATATATACTCATATACCCCAAAACCATCAGGGGAGCCACGAAAACACTTTTCCATTGCCGCAACCTTCTGTACCCGTAAGATCCCATCTAGGGGCCTTTTCTGGCGTCCTGCCGAAGGGGAATTCGATCACGGAGGGCTTCTACATCAACAACATTACCCTTTTGATAAAGCGTGAGTAGTTTACCACAAACCTACGACTTTGCAGATGTACAAACAGAAAACACCAAGTCAAAGAAAGACATGGCTGAACTGCACTACGATTTGTGAGCCCAGAACTACCCTTGAAAGCACACCTAGCTGAATCACACACTTTGGGTGCGACTAAGACATAAAAATCACTATGATACTTCTTATTACTAGCACTAATTGAATTGAAGATCTTCCATATAGCCCAACCCGAAGAAGTCAACAAATGCAAAAAAAAAAAAGAAAAAGAAAGAAGGAACAACTCCGAGCTTACTGAATCCAGGTTCAAGCCATCGACCACCGTATCAAAGATCCATAAGTAGAAGTAAGGACAGCATATTAAAGTGAGAACACAACACTTCAAAACAAAAAGATTAGGACGGTCATTTACCTGTAGCATGCTTTTAAATGAACATATCCCAAGATTGCCGTACAGGGGACGCGTGGCAGCACAGCGACGGAACAGGACCACCACCAGAAAAGCTTAGGCCCAACTACAGTGACCCACTCCCAGGTCCCAGCCCAAAATTCTCCATGCTACTACTGAAGTTGCACCAATTCCTATTTGGCACATGGGTCGGCACACTAGCGTTAGCGCTCCATCGTTTCAGCCGATTTTTATGTTAACCTTACTGTTCTAGGCCTCATTTCTGCAACTTTTTTTCATTTTCTGGTTTTATTTTCTGAATTTTTTCTTACTTGACTTTTTTAAGTATGGCTTTAGGGTTTTTAATTTTAGTGATTTCTTCTGGGTTCGGCTATCTCTTTGTGTGTCTTTTAGTTTTCTGTTCTTTTCTAAAATTTGTGTAACATAAACATTCTTTTAATATATGCTTTTTCTTTTTTTAGGGTTAATATACGTTTTTCCCAATACACACAGAACATTTTTTAATGTACTATGACCATTTTTTTATCGGGTAAAATTTTCTAATATAATTTAAATATCTTTTTAATGTTTCCTGAACTTCTCTTTTATATGGTTCACATTTACATAATATAAGTGAAGATTTCCAAAAAATTAATATACATTAAATACTTAGTGAACCTTTTTAATATAAGATGAAGATTTTCAAAATACACACAGAACTTTTCGGGAGCTGCTATATATCGTCAACTGCGAGTAATAACGTTACATAGCCTTCAGTTCCTAGTTATTGGGCCGGTCCATTTTCATGGGAGATGTTTATCTTGTGTTTAAAATGTTAAAAATATTTAAAACTGTTTGTCTTGTATTTAAAAAGGTTCAATGTGCGTTAAAACTGTTAAAATTTATTTGAACAAACATTTATTGTATAATTAAATATTTTTAAAGTGTATTTAAAATTCCATGTCCTAAAAATGTTCAAAATTATTTGAACCATGTTGATCATGTATTATTTAAGAAATGTTCATCGTGCATTAATATTACATTATATGAAAAATAGGCTTCATGTATTTTGAAAATGCTTAACATGTATGTATAATTTTCTTAATTGTGTTGTGATGACTAATTATTTATGTGTTTTTTTAGAAGACGGATATGCATCGTGTGCTCCGGAGGCACGTCGCCGTCGACAAGAAATCTGTATGGGAAAGCGACCTGTTGACTGTACTCAGGGTTGGTTTACACTTGGGTTTACAGTGTTCTTTTTGTTGGAAATATGCCCTAGAGGCAATAATAAAATGATTATTATTATATTTCCTTGTTCATGATAATTGTCTATTGTTCATGCTATAATTGTATTAACTGGAAACCCTAATACATGTATGAATACATAGACCACAACATGTTCCTAGTGAGCCTCTAGTTGACTAGCTCGTTGATCAATAGATGGTTATGGTTTCCTGACCATGGACATTGGATGTTATTGATAACGGAATCACATCATTAGGAGAATGATGTGATGGACAAGACCCAATCCTAAGCATAGCACAAGATCGTGTAGTTCGTTTTGCTAGAGCTTTTCTAATGTCAAGTATGATTTCCTTAGACCATGAGATTGTGCAACTCCTGGATACCGTAGGAATGCTTTGGGTGTACCAAACGTCACAACGTAACTGAGTGGCTATAAAGGTGCACTACGGGTATCTCCGAAAGTGT